ACTGTATATGAGGCCTCTCGAGACACAGAGTTCGGCAGTGAAGAGAGTTAGACAGTGAGCAGTGTGGAGAGACAGACAGAGAGGCACAGAGACAGGCCACGTTCTCTGTGTTTCCTGTTGTTGCAATAAAACTCAGCTGATCATCCCACGGAGTACCTTCATTCTTGACCAGCGTATTTCTGTCTCTGTTGTTAAATAAATATTGCCATAACAACCACAAAGTATGAATATAGAGCAACAGAACATAAAGCAGTAAAAACACAGATCCTGACAAAAACTAGTCTCAGCTTCTTTCTGAACACTTTCAGACCAGTAGGAAGGAACAGAGCATCTCATGTTTTATAAACAATTGTGTGTCGTTTCAAGGTTTCACATCCATGCAAAAGAGCTTCACATGGTTTAATTTCAGTAAATTGTATTTATTTAGACCAATGTGGCATTCCCCACTTCAAAATCTAAAGAGGTTTTAGTTCAAACTGACACAAAATGTGTTTCAGATGGAGGAGCTGAAATGGCCAAATCAAACACTGAGAATGTTCTTGTTCCGGCTGTTTATCCTCAGTAACCAGGCTAACTATTATTAGAATTATATGTTGGTAACACTGGATTTTTCTGTGTTTCATCCAGTCAAGCTCTGTAACAACATATTGTATTTTCTAACAGTTTGTGGAACTGATTTATTATTATTGAAACCGACAGAAGTGAAAATAAAACATTTTTTTATTGAAACTATTTACTTCCTGGACAGATGGCAGCCATGTTGGACTTAGGAGGAAGTGGGTACCTCAGAAAGAAATTATTTTCAGTACATCCACATCACCTCATTCAAGATAAGCACCACACAGTTTGTCTCTGACTCACAGATGCTGAGATCAAACTTAGTGTGGTAGTAGCTGAGAGTCATCTCATCGCACAATCAGATGTGATCTGAGTTTAAAACGTCACAGGACAGAGGGTGCATTCATTTAAACATCCTTTTATATGTTTTAATGAATATTCACCTCTATCAGATTATAAATATACTTCCTGAAAACAGGCTTTCATGCATCATCAGCAGTCTTCAATAAAAAGTAACAAAGGAATGGACACTAATAAATGTTTTTTAAATGTTGTTTATTCTGCTTAAATCTTCTTTATTTAAAGAAACATATTTTGATCAAATTTAGTTGAACAACTTTATTCATAAAAATGATCATTTGTGTGTTTAGAAATATTCTGCACATGGAAGAAAATTGGAAAAAAATATTATAAGCTACCGAAGTCAAAGATAAAAAGCAAAAAACAAGAACACGTTCTGTCTAAATCAGGGGTCTGCAACCTTTATGATCAACAGAGACATTTCTGCGCCTTGTCTCACTAATAAAATGTGTCCAGAGCTGCCAAACAAGCTACAACTGTGATTATCAACTGGTGGTCCACGGGCGTTTTCAAGGCCTTTTTGGGAACTTAGTGGAGGTGACATTATAAAACTAAAGGAATATTGTTATTATTATTATTATTATATTATTATTTATTATTATACACATCAGCACAAAGAAAAAGGACATGTTCATGTAAACAAGAAAATACTGTATAGTTTATACTGAATTTCATAAAAACCAGTACAACTGAATTATTCAGGCAAATTTATTTTCTAATACTTATTATTATCGTCTTCAAATTATTTAAAGGTAATATAATGGATTTGAAAGAGAGAAATGAATTGGAATCTTTAAGTAAACAACAGGCTAGCATGAGCTAACATACTACTTTTACATCACTTTTGTATTTGTAGTATTGATCACATGCTTGTATACAAATTGATTTCTGTTGTGGGTATACACC